CAGGACTCACACCCAAGTTGGAGCTGGCAAGGAGCAGCACGGGCTGCGGCACAGCCTGGGTACCGAGCTCCGTGGCAAGAGGGGGACAGTGGGAAGGGGCAGGATGGTTGGGTGGGTGATGGTCAAGGACCGTCCCTCGCTCGCAGCCACCTTGAGTGCAGCAAAGCTCCTCCAGAGCCTGCACTGGGATCTCTCCCTCCAGCAAAGCCCGTGAGCAGCCAAGAGCTGAGCTCATCCTGGGGAGCAGGCATGGAGCAGGCAGGCCCCGAGTCACCACCCGACTGCCACCAACCCAGCCAGCACCTAAACCCCAAAGCACTCATTTTGGAGCCCTGAAACCAAGGGCTGCGAACCCCGCTAATGCCAAGGAGGGCAGCCCAGCCCCAGGGATGTGGCAGGGACTGCGGCACCCCGAGGGGAAGGCTGGTGCCCAGATACCCCAGGCTCTGCTTCCCCCTTTCTCGTGAGTCAAGCAGAAAACATAAATGAAAGGAGCAGAGATGAAGCTGCCCCGGCCCTGCCACCCCCTCAGGGTTGGGGTTTCATGACAGTTACAGGCAGATTCACCCCCAAAGCAGCTGATGGGGGCGGGGACAGCCCCACACAGGAGCCTCTCCCAGCACGAGGGCAGCACGGTGCTGGCGAGGCCGCGGTTACTCACTGGCCGCCGGGTGCCGTGGCTCATAGCCGGGGACACGGGGTGAACTCACACTCACGTGGAGGAATTTCCAACAAGCATTTGCTTGCAGCGTGGCAGGAAAGTATCTCCACTCCACCCAGCCCCACAGCTGCAGCTGGCCAGCTCCCCAGGGGAGCATCACGGGCAGCCCACCACCCTCCTGGGCTCGTCCAGGGTCAGGGCAGGTGGGTCAGGGACAGAGCGAGGGTGATTTCCCTCCCCTGGCCCCTGTCTTGGCCACTTACTCTCCCATCGCCCCCACCAGCGAGGGAAACCAAAGAGAAATGACACAAAGCCTGGTTCTACAAAAGGATTGAATTAATTATAGAAAAAAAGACGGGGGTTTGTCTTGGTCTCTGAGGGAATCAGCCCCTGGGCAGGGCCAGGCCGAGCCCACAGTGATGGAGACGTTGTCCGAGGTGTCCTGGTCCCAGCTCCGTGTCCCAGCTCTTGTGGATTGCCCAGGGGCTGCCTGGCAGCTCTCTCCTGCACGGCAGAAGGGAACGGCCCCGCTCATCACAGCGCAGCAATGGCCTTGGCAGCGACACGGCGGCCCAGGGTCAGGCTGAGATCGGTGATGGCCAAGACAATTCTGGGACTGGACATGGTGGATACTTTCACCAGCTCTGAAACCTGCTCAGAAAGAGAAGAAACACAACTGAGTCACAACAGCACTGGAGACACAAGAGCCAGGCAGCGGGAAGCCCCTGGCCATGCTGGTCTGTCCCATGGGACCAGGGCACCCTGTGACCCAGGAGAAGGATGTCACGGCTGTGGGACTCACCATGGTGAAGGGCATGAACTGGAGGATGCTGCCACGGCTGCCCTGCTCCAGGCAGTCCACACACTCCTCCATGAACCACTGGACAAACTGGGTGTGGGTGCCGGCTGTCTTGGCCCCCAGGATGGAAGAGATGAGCAGGAAGAGGTTTGCTGTGGAGACAGGGAAATGTCAAAAGCCAGGCTGGTTCAGGGAGGCTGGGGGTGGCTCAAGCCTCCCACACAGGGGACAGGTCCCCACCAGGGTCTCAGTGTGGCTGCACCAGACCCCAGGGCCAGGCCTCGCCACTGGGATCCAGCCCCACCATTACCTAGCACCCTGTTGAGTGGGTCCCTCATGCTGACCGTGTGGAGCTGGGAGGCGGAGAGCGAGCTGCTCATGGAGCGATCTGTTGGGGTGGAGAACATGTGTCAGGCTGGGGACAGGCTGGAACAACCTCTCGACCCCCTTGGCCATGCCAACGTGCCCATCCTGGGCCAGCTCTGGCCATTTGAGCTCGCCCAGCCCTTGGGGCTTCGCCATGAGCTACCCCATGGAGTGGGAGAGGTTTGGACCATGGTCCTTGGCATCCTCCACACCCAAACAAGGGGAATCCTTGCTGCTCGGGCACACCAGAGACAGGCAGCAGCCAGCCTTGCCGTGGTCACCGTCCCTCTCTGCCAGGGTCTGGGCAGCCCGGGCAGGGCTCCACACGCTGCCACTCTTGGGATGTGACACTTGGCTCTTGCACAAGCCAGATTTATTCTGAGTCTGACCAAGTTTAATAACATCTCCAAAGGGTAAGAGTGAGCAAGACTGTGAGTGAGATCACGAGCGAGACCGTGACCCCTGCCCTCCCCGCTACCCCCTGCTGGGTTTTAATGACAGCGGTGACTCGTCCCTGACGCTGCTGCACGAGGGCACGAGCGATGTAACGTGAAGTCACGATTAGGAGAGGAGGAGAAGAGCGCTCAGCACATCCTGTGTGTGCTGCTGGCAGCACAGCCGCCTGGGCAGAGCCAGCCAGATGTTCCACAGCTGCACAGCAGCACTGAAATCTCACTCCTGGGGTATAATTCAGCTACCAGAGCTGAGGCATGTTCAACAGACTAAATCTTGGATAGACCAAGGGGATTTGCTGGTCTGTCCAGTAAATCTTGGATAGACCAAGGGGATTTATCTGAACCAAAGTGTGAAGCATTGCTGGGTGCTCCTGTGGGAGAGGAACTGGGTCATCTCCAGTCCAACGTGGATGGGAGTCTCCTGTGCAGAGCCCAGACGATGCAGCTACTGCCAAAAACCAGCAGGACCCACCTTGTGCCGCTCTGAGGATGCTCACCATAAAAAGAAAAACCCTCCCACACTTTTCTCATGGAATCACATGAGTTACGTGGCTGCTGCAGGAAGCAGCATTTCCACATCGCTGCAGCAAACAGCCCAAAAAAAGTCCTGAATGTCACTGGAAAGAGATGGAACTGCCTCCAGAGTTAAAAAAAAAAAAAGATAGTGAAACAAAGGGAAAACCCCAAATTTCAACAGTCATGAAACCAACGAAACCCCCACGTTGATGGATGTCTTGAAAACTGACAAATAAAGAATAACTTTGGATAAAGGCATCAGGAGAAACAATGACCAAGGAACATCCTGACTCACTGCCCAAGAGTCCAGACAACACATGTGGGAGCTGTGACAGCACCCGGCCGTGGCAGGAGAGTACAGACACCCCCCGCAGCACCGTGTCGCGGGGACACGGAGAGGTGACTGCAGGGGACTCGTCAGCTCCGCTCGCTGCCTCGTTAACAACAGTGGTGGAATTTCAGGATTTAGTCACAGATGTCAAAAAAAGGTCACCTCCTGCCACTCCTGCTGCAGCACATCATCTCTCTCCGGTCCCACATGGATTGTCTGGGGGTGATAAAGCCTCCTCGAGCCCCTCGTGTGTGACACAGGGGGTTGAGTTGCAATGTCACGGAGAGAAGGTGTAACCTCATCCCCTTCCCTAAGTTGTTCTAATCAGAGGAATTAGAAATTTTCCCCTGAAAGAGGGGAGGTTTAGATGAGATATTAGGAAGAAGTTCTTCACTGTGAGGGTGGTCAGACACTGGAACAGGTTGCCCAAGGAAGTTGTTGATGCCCCCTCCCTGGAAGTGTTGAAGGCCAGGTTGGATGAGGCTTTGAGCAACCTGGTCTAGTGGAAGGTGTCCCTGCTGCTGGCAGGGGGGGTGGGACTGGATGAGCTTTAAGGTCCCTTCCAACCCAAACCATTCTATGATTCTATGAATAAAGAGCTCGACCTTTTCTAAGTGCAGAAGCTCCAGGGTAACTCAGCAAAACACACTCAAGGGCTTTAAATCTTTAAATCTTTAAATCTTCACCTGGCCAATTTAGGAAGAGTTTTTGTGCCAATACACATTTCACACCCAGAAATGAGCACCAAGGCAGGACGGTGCCTCCCTCAGGAGCTGCCCTCCCCGCCCGCACTTACTGGGGCTGGAGAGGGTGTTGGAGTCTTCCTCGTTGGAGCTCAGCAGGCGCATGAGCTTGGAAGGCTGCGTGTCGTCCAGCGGAAACAGGCTGATGTAATCCTGGGGGAGCAAGAAGGGGTTCAGCCCCAGCAGCCCCTCTCTGAGGGGAGTTTCTGGCCCCTCTCCCTTGGGCTGATGACCCACCCTGGGCTCTGCACAGCCCCATGGCCCAGGACTATGATCCTTCACCCAGAGCATCTCAGCCTGGGCCAACTACATCTGGACCAGCTTGTTACAGCCCCACCTTCCCCAGAAAAGAGAAGGGAAAATTTTGTATTTGACTCCATATTTTAAGGTCAAAGGAACTCAGAGAGCCCAGAGAACTTGGGCAGGGAGTCTGGCCTCAGCTAACCACTCCTCCTGCAGACACTGCTCACTCTCACACACACAGAGAGCCTCCAACCAAACCCCACTCCATGCCAAACACACCTCAATATCCTCTCGGTGCCTTTTCTTCTGCCTGGCAGACGCCTGGCCCTTGTTGTGGGAGGAGTAGGAGCTCAGGGCACACCAGACAGCGAGCCTGGGGACAGAGCAGGGACAATGTGAGGTGCTGCCATCCACCCAGGTGCATTGAGCAAGGAAAGAAGGCAGAGCCCAGAGTGCACGTCAGGACAGGACACAGCAGGTCCCTCATGGTTGAGAGGCAGCAGAGGACAGGGCCCAGGACACTGGTGTGTCTGTCGACACCATGCCAGGGTCAGAGGGGGAACTGGGCAGCTGGGACCCCCATCCCAGCACAGAGCATCTCCCTGTCTCTACAACCAGGCCCACCTCCCCGCAAGGAGACGGTTGTCTGCGCCCCCGGGGTCTCACTTGGCCAAAGCCTTTCCTGGCGGGTCCATGAGCGTGTGCCACTTGGAGGAATCCGTGAGCAGGTTGGGCAGGATGTGACCCAGCAGGGTGAGCGTCAGCTGCTGCATGTCCAGGCAGAAGATGGCATAGAGCAGCTCCA